TTGGTGAATGCTTTTTAATTTGAAAAGCTCGAAAAGATATGGTAATTCAGTTGCCATCACAGTGCGAGTTTTTGCCGCTCAGGTCTTGTTTACTCTTTCTATTTAAAATCGTGATACGGTAGAAAATTTTAATTCTTGTAACCGTACATTTTGACGAGGAAATACAAATTTTTTTGTAATGTTCTAAAAGTTACAAATCAAAATGATGAACTAAGAATGTTTTTCGGATGAAAAAAATTTTTTACGGTTGGCAACAAGCTCTTCTTGAATAAAACATTTTTTTCAATATTTTAGCGTACCGTTGGAAATAAATCTTGTAGAATGTGCAGGCTTAAGCGTACATATTTCTCCAGTAGAAGCGTCACTGTGTTCGGCTTTCGAGGATTAACAAAGTGAAAGACATATGCATTCCCTCGAATTAGTGGGGCATTAGATTCCTATTTTTCTGTCTCAGCTGTGCAGCCTTCTCGGAATATCTGACTCAGAAAGGAAATAGTCTATAGTGGAATTTAAAAAATTTTGATTTTTTGCACAAGTTTTGTATAGAAGATTTATTGAGAGTGTTAGAGCAGTTAAACGAATGAGTTGGGAAATTTTTTAAAGCAGTTTTAAGAAATGTTGTTACTTTTGCATTTTCCTGGTTTATAGTTCAACTGGTTTCTCACCGTAATTTTGACAACGGTCACGGTAATATTAAGTCTTTTTATGTTACCTGGAATGGAGAGTTCATTTCTAGTTCCAACTTCTTTAGTATCGCATTTTTTTTTGTTATAAGCGTCTGAAAATTCAGTTCCATTTCAACGGTCTGTGCAACGAAAAGGAGTTTACTGTAATACTAAAGGATAATAAGTCTGATCTAAAAGTTCTTCTTTTCTGCTACTTTCTCCTACATTTGTATATGAAGAGGAACATTGCGTTTGGAACTTTTAGCTTTATTTTTACTTGCTTTTTTTCTGGAATGAATAGAAGATTTTTACAACTTCTAGTTTTTTCAGGTTCCGAACAGGCATTTTTTCGCCAACAAATTACTTCTTGAAAAAGTTAAAATAGTAGAGGACCGTAGGAACGAGTTTTTAAAACAAGCTGACCATCCTGTTCTAGTTATTGACGAATG